AACTCAATGAAATAAAAAGAGAAGGCAAGAACAGAGAAAAAAGCACAAAAAGGAATGAACAAAATCTTCAAGAAATGTGGGACTATGTGAAAAGACCTAATCTACGTCTGATAGGTGTACCTGAATGTGATGAAGAGAATGAATCCAAGCTGGAAAATACTCTTCAGGATATTACCCAGGAAAACTTCGCCAACTTAGCAAGGCAGACCAATATTCAAATCCAGGAAATACAGAGAACACCACAAAGATATTCCTCAAGAAGAGCAACCCCAAGGCACATAATCGTCAGATTCACCAGGGTTGAAATGAAAGAGAAAATGCTAAGGGCAGCCAGAGAGAAAGGTCGGGTTACCCACAAAGGGAAGCCCATTAGACTCACAGCAGATCTCTCAGCAGAAACCCTACAAGCCAGAAGAGACTGGGGGCCAATATGCAACATCCTTAAAGAAAAGAACTTTCAACCCAGAATCTCCTATCCAGCCAAACTAAGCTTCATAAGTGAAGGAAAAATAAAATCTTTTGTGAACAAGCAAGCACTCAGAGATTTCGTCACCACCAAACCTGCTCTACAAGAACTCCTGAAAGAGGCTCTACACATATAAAGGAACAACCAGTACAAGCCACTCCAAAAACACACCAAATGGTAAAAGAGCATCAACACAATCAAGAAGCTGCATCAACTAACCAACAAAACAGCCAGGTAGCATCAAAATGACAGTATCAAGTTCACACATAACAATACTATCCCTAAATGTCAATGGACTAAATGCCCCAATCAAAAGACACAGACTGGCAAATTGGATAAAAAGCCAAAACCCATCAGTGTGCTGTATCCAGGAAACCCATCTTACATGCAAGGATACACAAAGGCTCAAAATAAAGGGATGGAGGAAGATCTACCAAGAAAATGGAGAGCAAAAAAAAAGCAGGAGTTGCAATTCTCATCTCTGATAAAATAGACTTTAAAGCAACAAAGATCAAAAGAGACAAAGAATAGCATTACATAATGGTAAAAGGATCACTGCAACAAGAAGAGCTAACGATCCTAAATATATACACATCCAATACAGGAGTACCCAGATACATAAGGCAAGTTCTTAATGTCTTACAAAGAGACTTAGACTCCCACACAATAATAGTGGGAGACTTTAACACCCCATTGTCAATATTAGACAAATCAACCAGACAGAAAATCAACAAGGATATCCAGGACCTGAACTCAGACCTGGAACAAGCAAACCTAATAGACATTTACAGAACTCTCCACCCCAAATCCACAGAATATACATTCTTCTCAGCACATCACATCTACTCTAAATTTGACCACATAATTGGCAATAAATCACTCCTCAGCAAATGCAAAAGAACAGAAATCATAACAAACAGTCTCTCAGACCACAGTGCAATCGAGTTAGAACTCAGAATGCAGAAACTAACTCAGAACCGCACAGCTTCATGGAAACTGAACAACTGGCTCTTGAATGTTGACTGGATAAACAATGAAATGAAGGCAGAAATAAAGATGTTCTTCGAAACCAATGAGAACAAAGACACCACATACCAGAATCTCTGGGACACATTTAAAGCAGTCTCTAGAGGAAAATATATAGCAATGAGTGCCCACATGAGAAGAAAGGAGAGATCTAAAATTGACACCCTATCATCAAAATTGAAAGAGCTAGAGGAGCAAGATCAAAAAAACTCAAAACCTAGCAGAAGACAGGAAATAACTAAGATCAGAGCAGAACTGAAGGAAATAGAGACACAAAAAACTCTTCAAAAAAATCAATAAATCCAGGAGCTGGTTTTTTGAAAAGATCAACAAAATAGACAGACCACTAGCCAGATTAATAAAAAAGAAAAGAGAGAATAACCAAATTGATGCAATAAAAAATGATAAAGGGGATATCACCACAGATTCCACAGAAATCCAAACCATCATCAGAGATTATTACAAACAACTCTATGCACAAAAACTAGTAAACCTGGAAGAAATTGATAAATTCCTGGACACCTGCATCCTCTCAAGCCTAAACCCGGAAGAAGCCAAAACCCTGAATAGACCAATAAAATGGTCTGAAGTTGAGGCAGCAATTAAGAGCCTACCACCCAAAAAAAGCCCAGGTCCAGATGGGTTCACAGCTGAATCTACCAGACATACAAAGAGGAGCTGATACCATTCCTTCTGAAACTATTCCAGACAATCCAAAAAGAGGGAATCCTTCCCAAATCATTTTACAAGACAAACATCATCCTGATACCAAAACCCGGCAGAGACTCAACAAGAAAAGAAAATTTCAGGCCAATATCCATGATGAACATAGATGCAAAAATCTTCAATAAAATACTGGTAAACCGATTGCAACAGCATATCAAGAAGCTCATCCACCATGATCAAATAGGATTCATCCTGGGGATGCAAGGCTGGTTCAACATACGCAAGTCCATAAACGTAATTCACCACATAAACAGAACAAAAGACAAAAGCCACACGATTATCTCAATTGATGCAGAGAAGGCTTTTGACAAAATTCAACAACCCTTTATGCTAAAAACCCTCAATAAACTAGGTATTGACGGAACGTATCTCAAAACAATAAAAGCTATTTACGACAAACCAACAGCCAATATCATACTGAATGGGCAAAAACTGGAAGCATTCCCTTTGAAATCCGGCACTAGACAAGGATGCCCTCTCTCACCACTCCTATTCAATATAGTACTGGAAGTTCTAGCCAGAGCAATCAGGCAAGAAAAAGAAATAAAGGGTATCCAAATTGGAAAGGAGGAAATCAAATTGTCTCTATTTGCAGATGACATGATTGTATATCTGGAAGACCCCATCATCTCAGCCCAAAATCTCCTAAAACTGATAAACAACTTCAGCAGTCTCAGGATACAAAATCAATGTGCAAAAATCACAAGCATTCCTATACACCAGTAATAGACTTAAAGAGAGCCAAATCAAGAATGAACTGTCATTCACAATTGCTACAAAGAGAATAAAATACCTAGGAATACAACTAACAAGGAACGTAAAGGACCTCTTCAAGGAGAACTACAAGCCACTGCTCAACAAAATAAGAGAGGATACAAACAGATGGAGAAACATTCCATGTTCATGGTTAGGAAGAATCAACATCGTGAAAATGGCCATACTGCCCAAAGTAATTTACAGATTCAACGCTATTCCCATCAAGCTACCAATGATCTTCACAGAACTGGAAAAAAACACCTTAAACTTCATATGGAACCAAAAGAGAGCCCGCATAGCCAAGTCAATTCTAAGCAAAAAGAACAAAGCAGGAGGCATCACACTACCGGACTTCAAACTATACTACAAGGCTACAGTAATCAAAACAGCATAGTACTGGTACGAAAACAGAGATATAGACCAATGGAACAGAACAGAGGCCTCAAAGGAAATACAACATACCCACAACCATCTGATCTTCGACAAACCTGACAAAAACAAGCAATGGGGAAAAGACTCCCTGTTTAATAAATGGTGTTGGGAAAACTGGCTAGCCATGTGCAGAAAGCAGAAACAGGACCCCTTCCTGATACCTTACACCAAAATTAACTCCAGATGGATTAAAGACTTAAACATCAGACCTAACACCATAAAAACCCTAGAAGAAAATCTAGGCAAAACCATTCAGGACATAGGTGTAGGCAAGGACTTCAAGACCAAAACGCCAAAAGCAATGGCAACAAAAGCCAAAATAGACAAATGGGACCTAATCAAAATCCACAGCTTCTGCACGGCAAAAGAAACAGTCAGTAGAGTGAATCGGCAACCAACAGAATGGGAAAAAATTTTTGCAGCCTACCCATCTGACAAGGGGCTGATATCCAGAATTTACAAAGAACTAAAGCAGATCTACAAGAAAAAAACAAACAAGCCCATTCAAAAATGGGCAAAGGATATGAACAGATACTTTACAAAAGAAGACATACAGGAGGCCAACAAACATATGAAAAAATGCTCATCATCACTGGTCATCAGAGAAATGCAAATCAAAACCACATTGAGATACCATCTCACACCAGTTAGAATGGCGATCATTAAAAAATCAGGAAACAACAAATGCTGGAGAGGATGTGGAGAAATAGGAACACTTTTACACTGTTGGTGGGAATGTAAATTAATTCAACCATTGTGGAAGACAGTGTGGCGATTCCTCAAGGACCTAAAAATAGAAATCCCATTTGACCCAGCAATCCCATTACTGGGTAGATATCCAAAGGATTATAAATCATTCTACTACAAGGACACGTGCACACGAACGTTCATTGCAGCACTGTTTACAATAGCAAAGACCTGGAACCAACCCAAATGCCCAACGATGATAGACTGGATAGGGAAAATGTGGTACATATACACCATGGAATATTACGCAGCCATCAAAAACGATGAGTTCATGTCCTTTGTAGGGACATGGATGAACCTGGAAACCATCATTCTTAGCAAACTGACACAAGAGCAGAAAATCAAACACCGTATATTCTCACTCATAGGTGGGTGTTGAACAATGAGAACACATGGACACAGGGAGGGGAGCACTAGGGGTGGGGAGGTGGGAAGAGATAGCATGGGGAGAAATGACAGATACAGGTGAGGGGACGGAAGGCAGCAAACCACACTGCCATGTGTGTACCTATGCAACAATCTTGCATGTTCTTCACATGTACCCCAAAACCTAAAATGCAATAAAAAATAAATAAATAAATAAAAAGAAATCTACTGTACATCATGAGTACTGTTAATATATTGCACAATTGAAAGTTGCTAAGAGAAATTTTATGTCTTAACAGAAAAAAAACAACAAGGTAATGTACATGTTAAATAGCTTGATTTTGTTATTCCACAATGTATACATATATCAAAACACCATGTGGTACATGAAAAATGTATATAATTTTTACTTGGCAATTAAAAATAAATCATAAATAAATACATTTTAAAATATTTTAAGGTTATCTACAATTATACTTACTGTCAAGTTGATTATTTTGAAAAGATGTTTGTTTCTTTATTTCCACTTCCGTTTTTGACTTTGTGTCTTGTTCAAGCGTAAGATTTTCTTCTCGTACATCATAATGAGCTACACAAAGTAATAAATTTAGTGCACTAAACATAAAAAGACTATAGTGAAATTTCTAGATTTCAGAAATATAACAAGTATACCGTCATATTGTATCTCATTTTTATACACGTAAAATATAAGTAAATCACTATAATTCTAGATATGACATGAAAATAGTGATAAGAATTTTAGTGAATCTGAGGTGAAGTAGTCTCATTATTTCATAAATATTTTTTGGCATTAAATATTAAATTAGCTTCTACTTGTTTTTGATTATTTATAATTTAGGTTAATATGTATTCATAGCAAAACAATGAAAATTCATATGGACAAGTTTACTCATTACGACATACTTTTAATCACAAAATAGTCAAAAGCACTTAAGTGTACAAGCATATGAGACTGGTTAAGTAAAAAGGTATATATTATAATTTATGGTATTATCAACTACAATCTTTAATACAATACAAAGAATTATACAGGCAGCTTTAAAAGTAATAAAAAGATTGTTATAACCTGAGTTAGAGAGATTTATAGAAGGTAATGTTAACTGAGGAAAAAATTAAAATAGAAGAAAGATATCAATTATGCTATCCATTAGGAAATAAATGTAAAAAGATACTTGCTTTTATAAATTGAAACACAGGAAAGATAAACCAGAAAACAAAGTTGGTGATCAAAATTTGCACAGACTCTACATGTAAAATTGCATCCAATGACTACCATTAAATCTAAGCATGTTCCTAGACTGAGGATAGTCTACAATGCATGTTTTCATGTTTTATTCATTTTTCCATGTGTGATGAAAAAGTATGTAGAGTCTTCAGGATCACATTACCCACCTATCCAAAAGGGATCATAAAAGAGATGTGAATAGTTCACCTTTACCTTAAATGAATTACTCTTGTTACATTTAATTATGGACAGTGGCACTTATGAGGTGTGTTACTGCAGACCTCCTCATTCAGAGTGTCCTTCCATGGACACTTTGCCCAACAAGGATTAAAAAGTAGGTAGGTGGAAAGTGTTACATACATATGAGACCCTCTCCTTTCTTAGCTGGCTGCTATTTGGCCTCTGACTAATTTGGTCCAATTGTGGTGAGTTCCCCACCACTGAAAAACTTTCTTTGACCACTCTTCCAGTCACCTGCAAAGTGGCCTGAAAGCCACCTGATAGTCTCTTACTTCAGCAATAAGGAGTAAGAACAACAGATGACAAATAAGATCATTTACCAAACTCAGACCTATGCTAATTTGTGCTATTCTCATTGGTTATATAGCTCAATTGAACTTGATGATGTGAAATGGTTAGCAGCACAATCCAGATCTTAACTGACGAATTTCCATGCAAGGCAAAAGAACCTACTGCCAAGGTACCAATATTTCATTAACAGTCAGAGTGATGTAAAAATGTAACTGGGCACCCACTCCCAGACCATCTGGTTAAGTGTCTTCTCAAAGACATCTATGACTCTAGTTGCTCAACAATAAAGTCTCAAGGAAGAGATTGATGGGTTCTCCATTAGATGCTTATGATCAATTAATGGTCACAGGGGCACAACACAGAGCCCCACTACAGTCCACATAGTGAGGACTCCTATAACTAATAAAAGTGCTATCCTTGATACCCAGAGTCGTGAAGCAAGATGGTCAAATAGAAGGCTACACAACCATCCCTCTTGCAGGAACAACACATTTAAAACTATCTACATATGAAAAAGCACCTTAATAGGAACCAAAAATCACCTGAACCCTCATAGTATCTGGTTTTAACTTTGTACTGTTGAAAGAGGCACTGAAGAGGGGAGAAAAGACAGTCTTGAATTGCTAATGCCATCCCTCCTTCATTGCTCAGCAGTGTTCGCATGGTGCAGAGAGAAATTCTTTGTGATTTTTTAGAGGAACAGTGCAGTGATTATGAGATTTTACATTAAACTCAGTGCTACCCTGTCATGGCAGAAAGAAAAATCAAGCTGAACTCAGATGATGCCCACCTATAGAGAGGGGCCAAAAGGGAACTGCATATACCTGCTATTGGAACTTGAGTTCTGGCAAGCCTCACCACTGCAGGCTAAAGTTCCCTGGAATGCTAAATAAACTTGAAAGACAATCTAGGCCACAAGGACTGCAACTCCTAAGCAAGTTCTAGTGCTGAACTGGATTCAGAACCAATGGACTTAGGGAGCATCTACTGAGACATCAGCCAGGACAGCTAAAGGAGTGCTTGTGCCACCCCTCCTCCAACCCCAGTCAGTGCAACTCACAGCTCCAAAAAAGACCCCTTCCTTATTCTTGAGGAGAAGAGAGGAATGAATAAAGAGGACTTCATCTTGTATCTTGGATACCAGCTCAGCAATAGTAGGATAGAGCACTGGACAAAATTTTGAGGCCTCTGTTCCAGGCCCCAGCTCCTGGATGACATTTCTAGACCTACCTTGGGCCAAAAGGGAACTTGCCACCTTCAAGGGAAGAACCTGGCAAGATCTAACACCTGCTGACTAAAGAGCCCTTGGGCCCTGAATAACCAGCAGCAAGATCTAGGTAGTATGCCATGGGCATTGGGTGAGACTCTGAGATGTGCTGGCTTCAGGTGAGACCCAGGACATTTCCAACTGTGGTGGCTATAGTAATAAACTCCCTCTGCTTGAGAAAAACAGAGGAAAAAGTAAAGAGGACTTTGTCTTGCACCTTAGGTACACACTCAGGCCCAGAGTAGTCAGTACCAAACAGGCACATACATGTGCACATGTCTTGAGAATAATTTATATTCCTTTGGGTATGCACCCAGTAATGCGATTGCTAGGCTGAATGCTATTTCTGTTTTTAGGTCTTTAAGGAATCACCATACAGTCTTCCACAATGGTTGAACTAATTTACACTACCATCAACTGTGTATAAGTGTTCCTTTTACTCTGCAACTTTCCCAGCATCTGTTATCTTCAAGATTATTAGTACTAGCCATTCTGACTGCTGTGAGATGGCATCTCATGGTTTTGATTTGTATTTCTCTAATGATCAGTGATATTAAGCTTTTTAATATATGATTGTTGGCCACATGTAGATCTTCTTTGGAAAAGTGTCCATTCACGTCCTTTGCCTACTTTTTAATGGGGTTGTTTGTTGTTGTTGTTGTTGTTGTTGTTGTTGTTGTTGTTGTTTGTAAATGTATTTAAGTTCCTTATAGATGATGGTTATTAGACCTTAAACATAACTTTCATATCCACCATGAAACAAAAATGTGTAACTTGCTTTATTGTGATATTTGCTTTATTGTGGTAATCTAGAACTGAACCTGCAGTATCTCCAATATGTGACTGTAAGTCATATTTTAGGCCACAAGATAAGTCTTAACAAATTTTTAAAGGCTCAAATCATATCAATTATCTTTTCCTACCACACACAACGGTATAAAACTAGAAATCAATCACAAGAAAATTTTCAGAAAATTCAAAATGTGGGAAAATTCAGTAGCACACTCCTAGATAATCAATGTGTTAATGAGAAAATAAAAAGGAAAATCAAAAATATCTCTTGATAAACTAAAATGGAAACACAGTATCACAAAAAATGCAACACCACAAAAGCAGTCCTAACAGGAAAGCTTACAGCAATGAATGTCTACATTTAAGAAAAAAAATAAAGACCTCAAATCTAAAAATCTAACAGTACATGTCATGGAACACTAGAAAACAAAGAGCAAACTAAGTTCACTGTTAACAGGAGGAAGGAAACAATAAATATGAGAGCAGAACTAAATGTAATAGAGACTGGAAAAACTCTAGAAGTAGTCAACAAAACTAAGAGCTTATTCTTTGATATGATAAACAAAATTGGCAAAACTTTAGCTATACAAAAAAGAAAACTCAAATAAATACAATAATAAATGAAAGAAGAGGCATTACAACTGACCACATACAAATACAAAAAAATCATAAGACTTCTATGAACAATTATACATCAAAAAATTGAATAATCTAGAATAAATGAATAAATTCACAGAAACATGTAACCTACCAGTACTGCAATATATGTCTTTCTGGGCCTCGATTATTTCACTTAGCATAATATCCTCCAGGTTCATCAATATTGTTGCAATTGACAGAATTTATTTAAAGCCACATAGTATTTCATTGTGTGTATATACACACCACATTTTTATTTATTTATTTTTCAAAGGATACTGATATGGTTTGTCTGTATCCCCACCCAAAAATTATCTTGAATTGTAGTTCCCATAATCCCCATGTGTCATGGGAGGGACCCAGTAGGAGGTAACTAAATCATGAGAGTGACAAAATATAAAGGGATTTTCCCCTTTTGCTTAGCACTTCTCTCTCCTGCCACCTTACAAAGGACATCTGTGCTTCTCCTTCCACCATAATTAAGTTTTCTCAGGCAGCCCCAGCATTCAGAACTGTGAGTCATTAACCTCTTTTCTTTATAAATTACCTAGTCTCAGGTATTTCTTCATAGCAGTTTGAGAATGAACTAATACAATAAATTAGTATCACAGTAGTGAGGCAATGCCATAAAGATATCCAAAAGAGTAGAAACAACTTTGGAATTGAGTAATAGGCAGAGGGTGGAGCAGTCTGGAGGGCTTAGAAGAAGATAGGAAGAAGTGGGAACGTTTGGAACTTCTGGAAGCCTGTTAAGTGGCTTTGGTCAAAATGCTGACAGTGATATTGACAATGAAGTCCAGGCTGAGGTGGTCTCAGGTGGAGATGAAGAACTTGTTGGAAACTGGAATAAAGGTGACTCTTGCTACGCTTTAGCAAAGAGACTGGCAGCATTTTGCCCCCGCCCTACAGATCTGTGAAATTTTGAACTTGAGAGAGATGATTTATGGTATCTGGCAGAATAAATTTCTAAGCAGCAAAGTGTTCAAGAGGAAGTAGAACACAAAAGTTTGAAAAATTTGTAGTTCAAAGATGCAATACAAAGGAAAAACCCATTTTCTGGGGAGAAATTCAAGCCTGCTGCATCAATTTGCATAAGTAATAAGGAGCCAGTGTT